GAAATATGATGCAAAACAGCCCCGAATCATGGCAATATGGTACCCGATACATGGAATGAGACCCAAAACATGAAATTAGGTACATGGAATGACCTGTGGCTATGAAAAGCATGCATTATTTGAACATGAAGTGTGAAGATAGAATCAAGACAGTCCCAAAACAAGCATATTTACAATTTTAAGCAAGGCCAAACAATGGACAAAAATAGGACTAAGCTAGCATGCAAAAATGGCCCCGTAAGAGAGGTAATGAAGCAAGTAGCATCTTCTGGCCCTAAATGACCAAAAGCCCTTCAACAAAGTTGAAGAGGGGCTCAAAATGAAGCACTTTACAGTTTACAACAAGCCACAAAAACAAACACAAGTATGGCTAAACCATTGTGCAAGAAATGGGCCAAAAAGGAGACAAAGAAGCAAGTGATGGTTTCTGGCCTCAAAAAGAGGAGGTCCCTTCAACAAAGTTGAAGAGGGGCCCAAAACATGGTATTTTACAGTTAGGGACCAAACCCAAAACAGTGCACATGCAAGCCTAAAATACTATGCAAAATAAGGCCTAAAAAGAGGTTTAAACAGAAAGAGCAAAAAGGAAGCTTCAAAAAGCAAAAGTCCCTTGATAAAACATGAAGGGGGGGTCGAAACAAGACTATTTACAATTCAGACCAGAGCCTAAAAATACAAGCACAAGGGGCTAACAAAACATGCAAAAATAAGGCCAAAAGAGGGATAAAGAGGCAAGTGACAAAAGGAAGCCTCAAACAGTGAATAGCCCTTCAACAATATTGAATAAGGGCTCAAAATAAGCCACTTTACAGTTTATAACTAAGCTCAAAAAAATTTACAAATAGGCCTAAAATACTATGCAAGAAAGAGGCATACAAGAGAGGTAAAGAAGCAAGTGTAAAAAGGAAGCCTCAAACAGGGAGAGGCCCTTAAACAAACATGAAAAGGAGCTGAAAATAATACTATTTTCAGTTAGGGTCGGAGCCCAAATATACAAAAAAGAGTAGTTAATATATTGAGCAAAAATAGGGCAAAAAAGAGGGATAGAAGACTTACTCTTGAAGACCAATGCTTCAACAACTCTTGGACCAAGTTTGGGAGCCCTTGACCTCTGGAAATGGCCTTGAAGTTGTTGGAATGGGTGGTGGTGGTAAGGTGCTAGGTGGTGGTGTAGAAATGGTGTAGGGTTTGGGAGGTTTTGAGGGTTGGAGTGTAGAGAGAGAGAGATACAATGTAGGAGCTCCAAACTAAAATTTCTAACCCTTTGAAATGCAGCTGGAGGTGCTGTTATATAGGCACAAGAGTGGAGAAAAGGGGGGGAGATTCAAATTCAAGTTTTCCCCCTAAAAATTTCCCCCCCGGATATAGAATCTGGGGGGAAACAGAACACATATTTGTGATGTACCAGGAGAGAGGAGTAAGGCCGGCTGCTTTTCTAGGGTTTAGGTGGCCGGCCGGCCTTCCCCATGGCCGGCCGGCCAAGGGTCCAAAGGGTCAATCATGATTGATGGCTGGCCATGCCAAAAAGAGGGCCTCCCATGTGTGCACAACACAACCATGTGGTCAAAAACTGGAGAAAGTGAACCAGGAGAGAGAAAAGGCCACTTTTAGGAGGGGTTCAAAAGGGTCACACACAATTAATGGCCGGCCATATGATATTGGTGGCCTCCCAAGTGTGTACAACACAAGTATGTGGTTTGGGGCAAGAAAAAGTGGCCTTAGGGTGGTCAATATTGGCCTCCAAGTGGGAAAAACAGGCGACGGAGGGCAATGGAGGAATAAAACTGGTTGTCAGAACAATTACTGGCCTCCCACCCTTCTATGACCTTTCTAACAATGAAACAAAGGTCCTTTCCAAAAATGAACTCAAATCGATACAAAATGGAGGTTCGGGGGCTGAAACGCGCAGCCCGAGGCCCCGAAAACTGACTGTTAGGCACCGGAAGTGGTGTTCGACCACAAAGTTGGTTTTTCGAGCCACAGTGTCCCTCAAAATGGAGCAAATAAGATGCATGCCAAAAACCGGAGCAAACGGAGGTGGTTAAGCGGTCCTGAACCGAGGCACACGGCCAACGGCTCCGAAAAACTGAAAACCGGGCTCCAAACGGGAAAAATGGCCTACGACCACGAAACGTAGCCTATGGCCACTGAGAGATGATCTACGAGACCTCTCCCTCCCGTCGGGAAGAGAAAACAGAGAAAACAGAGTCTGGTTCGCAAACCGAGGCAAAGCATGAAAGAGTCCGGAAGTTCAGAGGCAATGCTCGCAGCCGAGACTCTGAAACCTCTAAACAAGCACGATATGCAACATCACCAAGCGCTCAATCGGTGACGTCTGAGTCTTAAGGTCGGTCAAAAATGGGGTGTCTACACTTCATTAAAACTATTTGATGAAGATTGAAGTTCTTAAAGATTAATTTGATGAGAGAATGCTCGTTGGAGTTTGAGCTCTAATACCACGATGAATTCTCAAGAATAAAGAAATATATTCATTGATACTGAGAACAATGCGTCAGGTGTATATATATACATCAGTGAATAAGCCCTGACTATCTAACTGTATATCTAACACTCTAATTGTATATATCTAACTCTATAACAATATCTAGTTACATGCTAAGTTATCCTAGTGTGGCAGAGTATGCCTTATGATGTGCCCTCACTCTTAATCACTTTAGTAACCTCATCATTTTCTTTCTGCTGATTCATTGGTTCCATTTTCTTAGCCTTCTCTTTATCATAGTATAATTGAGGCTCTTTAATATCTTACCATCACTAGACTTGATCTCCCTTTTACGGTTAATCATGCGTACCAGTTTATGCATGCTACTACTATGGCTCATTTCAATGTAGTCAAGTGTCTATTGCGTTATCTTCAAGGTATAATGCAACATGGTCTCATGTTTACTTCTAGTTCTCTGGATTTGCATGCCTTTTCTAACTTAGGTAGGGTTAAGAGTACTCTTGATCGAAAATCTATAACTGAGTATTGTGTCTTTCTTGAATCTAATCTTGTGTCTTAGGCTACCAAGAGGCATCACACTGTTTCTAGATCCTCCACAAAGGCGAATACAAGGCCCTTTTCCAAGCAACATCTAAATTGAGTTCACTTCAAATACTTTTATTGAAGCTTCATCTCCCTACCTCCACTCGTACCTTGTGTGTGACAAGCTCTTTACTATCTATTTTTCTTCCAATCTAGTGTTTTATGCTCGCTCTAAACATATAGCTATTGGCTATCATTATATTTTCAAGCAAGTTGCTATTAAGAAGGTTTTTGTCAAGCATATTTCCTCTTTTGATCAATTGGCTAACATGTTCACCAAAACTCTTTGTTGCTCGATTTACTTACCTTTAAGATAAGCTTATGGTTCGTTCCTCACCCATTCGTTTGTGAGGGCATGGTGAGATTATTAATCAAGATAAACCGAGGCATGATTCCTCACGACATCAATTGCGAAACACATTAGGGTGAAGAGCAACTGAATTTATTGTGTATTAGTTACACACACGCACACACAAAGAGAGAGAGAGAGAGAGAGAGAGAGAGAGAGAGTGAGTGAGTGTGTGTGTGTCTGTGTGTAACTGAATTAGATTAGTTGGTTAGATGAGTGAGTCAGTTAGACTAGAGATACATAAATGTTTTGTATTTAAGGACTATTGTACGATAGGTCTCTTTCATTCAAAAAATAATACAAGATTTCAAAATCTCTTTAAGTTGGTGATGATTTTTACAAAACATTTTTCATTTTTTTAATTTTCTTCCGTTAACATCTCAACAACTAATTGCTCATACCTACCATCTATTACTGATAAGGGATTGTTAATTGCATTATATCAATTACCACAATAAGATTTTTTATTTTTATTTTTTTGGATCAGCAAAAAGAAGAAAACTTTATTGATGAACTAAGAGAATAATACATCAGTAAAGGAGAGGGGGGGGAAGAGTGCAAAAGCATCATAACGAAACAAACCAATCCCAACTAGGTTGGCACCGATAAGTTTGTCCAATCATATGCTAGCACACCATCAAGAGTTGGTGAGAAACCAACCACAAACATAGAACTAACCACACCCAAGATAATAGCTAAACAAACCAAACAAAACAAAACAAAAAGCAACAAAGACCATGACACCTCTCATGCGTCATAGCAGCACAATCATAGCAGACCAATGCAAAACAGATCATAGCAGATCACAACTCCATCTTAGACCATGACACCTCCACTACTTCACCCACGTAGCAAACCAGTGCAAAAAGCTTCACAACAGCAAAACAAATCACATATTTTATGTTGTCTACCACAATGAGATATTATGTTAAAATTTCAAAATAACTTGTGCATTTGAGTCAATGAATGAGACCATTTCATCAAAGTCATGTAGAATTCACAAATTTAATTTGATTAAATCATTTCATATTGGAAGAAAGTAATAGGGGTGTTTCGTTATGCCTAAACATGTAGCAGGTTTTGATTGGTTGAAGTTAACAAATATGATCCAGCTAGGCTTTAGATAATCTTTTTTTTTTTATCAGCCAAAAAAGGATCTTTATTAATGAAAATATACAAAGTATGATAAATACATCAATAAAGAGGAGCATGAAATGAGCTCAAGCTCCAAGCTGGTGAGAAACCAACAAACAGAGCCAAAAAAAAAAAAAAAACATTCACAGCCAAAACAAAACTAGAACCAACATAGCAGCCCATAGTTGAAGGGCAGAATAGTGCTAAACCAATATAGCAGTCTAGATTTGAAACCAACATAACAGTTGAGCAAAGCCTTAAAACCAAACAACCAACTTAGCAGACCAGCAGAACAGCAGACAACCAACATGGTAGCCCAGATTTGCAGCCAACATAACAGCTGAGCAAAGCCTTAGATCCAAACAACCCACTTAGCAGACCAGCAGAACAGCAGACAACCAAAACCAGCTCCAAGAGCAAAAGCAGCAGCAAAGTACTAAGCATCAAAGCAAAAAAACAGCATACCCAAAATTAACAGATTATGACACCAGAAATGCTAGTCAAGCCAGAATTAACAACAAAGAACTGAGCATCAAACCAAAACCAGAATTAACAGTACCTCTACTTTATTCACCAGAACTAACTGACAGCAAAGTACTAAGCATCAAAGCAGATTCTAAACCACTAACAGCATACACACTGACAGGTAAAGCAAATTCTAAACCAAGGCAAGCTGCTGTTGATTCAACCTAAACACCTTCTCACATGTTGCAGATTATGAACTAGATCATTGACAGAATAAGCCAGAGAAGCATCTGAGGACTTCACCCACAAGGCAATTCGTACCTTAATGGTATCACATAAAACTTCAAAATTAGCCTGCACCCCATTAAATACACAATCATTCCTCAGTTTCCAAATGGACTAGAAAATTACAAATGGAATTACACTTCATAGCTTCTTTTCCTTTTTCCTCAATCTACAACCAGACCACCACCTTAGTAAACTCTGAACTGTTCCTGGTGAAACCCATTTTAACCCCCACCACTTGACAAAGAATGACCATATCAGCCACAGAAAAGGGCATAGAAGTAGCACATGGTTAATAGTTTCCTCCACTTCTTTACAAAAAGAAAAAAAAAAAAAAAACAGACATCAACATTAACATTTAGGATACCAATCCTTCTTAATAAACTAGTTGTCTTTATTCTACCCCTCCAAACCAACCATCCAAAGAAAGCCTTCCCCAAAGATCTAGAGATCATGCAGGTAGGACCAAAACCCAATTCAAACCAATTATAGACAGATGAAACACTAAAGATACCAGATAGATCTGCTCTCCAACACAAACAGTTAGCAACATTTACGCTAAGCACTAGAGAACTGCTGAGATGCACAATCAATCTACTCATCTCCTCTTCCTTCCAAGCAAAAAAGGGTCTCCTAAAATTAAAGATCCAATTTCCAGACTTATCTCTACAGTTATGAAACATAAACACAGACCCTACTTTGTCAACTGAAAGAGAGTAAAGTCTAGGAAACTCATCTTTGAGGCATACACCATCTAACCAACAGTCAGTCCAAAATCTAGTTCTTCTACCATCCCCAATCTTGACAACAACATTACTCTTAAAAAATTGAAGAAACTCTGCCCTAGTAGCCACGGTGTTAACTATATCACCCCAAATCTTGGACATCCTGCTAACCCTCTCATTGGATAGAAACCAATTCCAAGCTAGCTCCATGTACTTTCTACATATTACATCCTTCCAGAGGGAATTATCTTCTGCTCCAAACCTTCACCACCACTTCAGTAGAAGGCACACATTCACAATTCTAATTCTCTTAACACCCAGTCCTCCTATGCTTTTGCTTTTAGAAACATCCTCCCATTTTACCAAATGCACTTTCCTCCTTAGATCTGAGCCACCCAAAAAGAAGGAAGATTGGATTCTTTCAATCTGTTTTGCTACCAGCTCAGGCATCTGGAAGAGTGAAAGATAAAAAATAGGTAAGCTAGCAATGACAGACTTAATCAAGGTCAATCTACCTGCAGAGGATAGAAATCTTCTCTCCCAAGAAGTAAGTCTTTGCTTACACTTATCAATCACTGGCTGCCAAGTTCTAATTCTACTTGGGCTGGCCCCTAATGGCAAGCCCAAGTATTTAAGAGGTAGATTCTAAAATTTACAATTTAGCCTTGCCGCAAACTCTTGGCCTAGTTCATTAGGAATCCCCACCCCACAAACCACATTTTTGTTGAAATTGATTTTTAGGCCTGACAAGATTTGAAAACACCTGAGGATTCTTTTTATATTAATAATTTCCCTCCAATCAGCTTCATAAAACATAATAGTGTCATCTGCAAATTGTAAATGAGTGATCCTAAGACCACTGGAGCCAACAAATGCCCCTCTGATCAGACCCAAACTTTTAGCTCTAGCCAGTAAAATGTTGAGTGCTTCAGCCACAATGATGAACATAAATGGTGACAATGGATCTCTCTGTCGAAGACCCCTCTGTGGACAAAACTCTGGTGTTGGAGACCCATTAACCAACACAGAAACTCTAGCAGATGCAACACATTCCTTCATCCAACTCATCCACTTAGTTCCAAACCCAAAGTTTGATAACATAGAAAACAGAAATTCCCAGTTGACTATGTCATAAGCTTTCTGAAAATCCAGTTTAAGCACAATTCCACTCCATCTAGCCTTTTTTCATCTGTCTAAAATCTCATTAGCAATAAATATACCATCTAATATGTTTCTGCCGTTTAAGAATGCTGATTGACCTCAAAGTTCTATAGGGGTGATTTGGCATATTGGCTATCATTTAGTTAGTTGGTGCATTTTATGCAGTGTGTCTGGATGTGGTCAGTCTCTATGGTATTCTGGAAGCTGAAGTGGCTTGCCAATTACCTTTCAAAAGCTACTGAGTTACTACTGGAGAAATATTCTTGTGTTCAATGAGAGTTGAACACAACATTTGTGATGTTTGGAAGTGTGTCCAACCCCAACATCCTCTAGTGTTTGCATCTATCAAAATGTATTGAAAGGAACAACAAAGATATATAATGTGTAGTGGATGAGTAAATTACCATTAATACTTTTCTTTCATACTCATCACATCATTTTGATTATTAGGTTTTTTTCTACCCTTGTATGTATGAGAAAACAACTAAAGTGGAGTTTTTTTTTCACACAACAGCTACTTTTTTATTTATTTATTATATTTATCATCATAACATTACATATAAGATTGTACCTTCACAAGTGACAATATATGAACATCAATTGGTATTTTTTTTTCCTTTTTGTGAACATTATCTTCTTGTTAGATATAACCATTTTTTTAAGAATTTTTTTTATTATTATTCCATTCCTTAAGGTTTGTATCACAAACCTACCATCCTTTTCAGCTCTTGATTTTAAAAAATTCATAACTGCATCACCTAATTTCTTATGTATTTTGCTCGATACTTCTGATACTGCTATTTAGAGAATTGCACTAAACTAATAAAAATTGAAATGCTATAGATACTTTTAGGGTAAATTACACCATCTTTAACCCCCAAGAGTTGGCTGAATGATAAAGATTTGAGAATAAGATTTAAGACCTCTAGTTCGAGTCACCCTAAATGGCCATTACAGGTCTTTTCAATCATTAACTTCAGGGTTGTGGGTTTAGTCGGGGTACGTGCAAGTTGAATCAGACACCTAGTTATCAAAACAAAACAAAAAACAAAATAACAAAAAAAAAAAAAATTTATATCATCTTTCCTTAAAGTTTGGAAAAAATACAAGTAGACCCATAGTTTTAACATAATTATAATGACTCTTTTAGTGAAGTTAAAGAGATGAAAACTAATGTAATTTGTGTGAAAACAAAAAGATAAATAAGAAAAAATATACATTTTAATATAAATGAGATGACAATATCATTTTTTCATCGACATAATCAACAAATTATTGATGAAAAGGAGGTTAAGTGTTATGTGAATTGAAACCTTGGAGAAGCCAACGCAATTATGCCAAAACTGTGGAGTTTGTTGTATTTTTTCTAAACCCTAGGGGAGGTTAGGGTAATTCACCCATACTTTAATGGGAAAGCTGAACTAAAAAAATTAGTTCTACGCATGTTGAACTGAGAAGCAGATAGACTAAACTTTCTTTCATAGAGAAGCTCATGTATTGACTCTTCTAAGTATTGTTATCTTAATGAGTGAGACAATGCACATCCTAAGTTCTTAATTCTTAACAATCACATATAGGTCCTGTTTAGTAAGACTTATTTCTAGTTTATTTTAGTTTTTAGCTTAATTTAAGCTATTTTGATGTGTTTGATTCAGCTTAACAATACAACTTATAATTTTTTGTAAGTTAAAAATCAACTTATTCTTTGAGTGGAGAGGAGAATCTTAATTTATAAGTAAAAAATCAGTTTATATTCCCAGCTATAAGTTATAAGCTGTTATGATATAAGTTATAATTACTTTCCCACAGCTCTACCAAACTGGGCCATCCTATGGTATAAAATGCACTCAAGTGTTGTTGGGCTTATAATAAGAGTATGTTGGCCATGTTTGGTAGAGCTGTAGGAAAGTACTTATAGTTTATGCGTCAACAGCTTATAGCTTATAACTTTCAGCTTAAGCTGATTTCCAGCTTATTCTTAAAGCATCTCCAGCCCCACTCAAAGAATAAACTGATTTCTGACTTCCAAAAAGCTATAAGCTATAAGCTATAAGCTATAAGCTAAACTAAACACATCAAGTTATATCTCACGTTGTATATA